GTGTTGACATGGTTCAATTCCCAGGATCTTCACTTCTTTAGGGATGGACTAAATGGCTGGTATCATCACTTACAAAAGTGTCTTGGTCTTGATGGAGCCTATGTTGTAAAATAAACCCGACGGGGTGGCTTGCGCCTTTAATCCCAGCTGCTCAGGAGACTGAGGCGGGAGGATCACTTGAGCCCAGGAGTTCAAGACAAGCCTGGTAACATAGTGAGATGCCATCTCTATAAATAAATAAATAAATAACTGTTTATACATTTTACTTTTTCTTTTAATTCCATTTTCCCACAAACTTTTTGATGTTCCCTTATATGTGAGCGTCCATATATATGTGTGTGTGTGCATGCATGCACATGTGTATGTATGTGTTTGCAGTGTATGTACGCATGCATGTGTGTATATATGTGTGCACATGTGTGTGTTTGCAGTGTATGTATGCATGCATGTGTGTATATATGTGTGCACATGTGTGTGTTTGCAGTGTATGTATGCATGCATGTGTGTATATATGTGTGCACATGTGTGTGTTTGCAGTGTATGTATGCATGCATGTGTGTATATATGTGTGCACATGTGTGTGTTTGCAGTGTATGTATGCATGCATGTGTGTATATATGTGTGCACATGTGTGTGTTTGCAGTGTATGTATGCATGCATGTGTGTATATATGTGTGCACATGTGTGTGTTTGCAGTGTATGTATGCATGCATGTGTGTATATATGTGTGCACATGTGTGTGTTTGCAGTGTATGTATGCATGCGTGCATCTTATATTTTGCACTGCCCTAGGCCCATGGTGCTGGTGAAGTCATCAAAGACCAGGAGTGAGGAAACTTAGTCCTGTCTTGTCTCCGCCATGGTCACTGTGTGCAGTAGTTACAGCAGATGTCTCTGGGGTGCCAGCGCAGCTCCCAACCGTTCTGCCCTTGGCTGTGTGCTGTTCCTTCTCATCCCCTATCCCCACATGCCACCAAGTTTACATTCTATGAGTCCCCTGCTCTTGGCAATGGCTAATTCAACTGAGTTGGACGATTGTCCCAAACTGTACCAGATTCCTTCCTCCCAAAACTTGGACTAGGGACTAAAAAGAGCCAATGAGTTTCTTTGTATGACTGGAATTGGAATGTGCCTGTGGGTGCTCTCTAAGCAGCAGAGAGCCAGGGCCAAGAACACCAGGCAGACACCAAGAAACGTCAGGTGAAAATGTAAAGAGAGAATACCCTGAGTTCTCCATGGCTTTTTGTAGCATTATTTCCAGCCGAACTCTAGCTTTCCCTTTGGACTTCATGGAATACCTCTGGATCCTTATAACAAATTCTAGTTGTTTGTTTGCTTGAAATAACTGGGATCAGCTGCTGCTTCCAATAAAATATTCCTTACTGTGCCACCTCGGACAAATCACTTACCTTCATTTTATTTCCATTTCTTCACCTCCAAAATAAGGAACTTTGGCCAGATAGCTTCCTACCTCTAATTTATATTAAATGGCACCTTCCTGGAGCCTGCCTCCCCAACAAAGCTAGGGTTTTGCTTACCTGCAGCAGAGAGACGGGAAAAGACTACTGGAACCTTTTTCTGTGTGAGTCAGCTCTCTGGGAGTTGACGCTGAGGTAGAATCTCACTGCCTCCAGAGCATGCCAGCTACAGAGACCTCATCTTTAGATACACCAGATAAGGGCTGTGTTCACCAAGAGAAATGAAAGTCTTTGGTGGGAGGAATCTTTGCAAACAGAATCTGGATAGAACATTTTTCTAGATGACAATTTGCATCATGACCCTATAAACACAGAAGCATTCTGGTCGCTATCTCCTTTCTATACTTTCAGTCAGTCCCATATTACACACTGAATTACAGACTTCTTATATTATTAAGTATGGTTTTATGATCATAAATCTTGTCTTCCTTATTAGATTAAATGTTTCTCAAGAGTAAGGGTGAAGATGTGTACACACTGTTCTGAATCCCCATTTTATCCAACCCTGTTTTTGGTATTTGGTAGTTACTTTTGAAAAATTAGTTTCATTCACCACTTAAATAAATAATTGCCTTAAGATGCTCTTACAAGGCCGGGCGCGGTGGCTCAAGCCTGTAATCCCAGCACTTTGGGAGGCCGAGGCGGGTGGATCACGAGGTCAGGAGATCGAGACTATCCTGGCTAACATGGTGAAACCCCGTCTCTACTAAAAATACAAAAAACTAGCCGGGCGTGGTGGTGGGCGCCTGTAGCCTCAGCTACTTGGGAGGCTGAGGCGGGAGAATGGCGTGAACCCGGGAGGCGGAGCTTGCAGTGAGCCGAGATCAGCCACTGCACTCCAGCCTGGGAGACACAGCGAGACTCCGTCTCAAAAAAAAAAAAAAAAAAAAAAAAAAAAAGATGCTCTTACAGCTGGGCATGGTGGCTCACCCCCATAATCCCAGCACTTTGGGAGGCCAAGGCGGGCGGGTCATGAGGTTAGGAGATCGAGACCATCCTGGCTAACACGGTGAAACCCCGTCTCTACTAAATATAAAAAAATTAGCCGGGCGAGGTGGCGGGAGTCTGTAGTCCCAGCTACTAGGGAGGCTGAGGCAGGAGAATGGCGTGAACCCGGGAGGCGGAGCTTGCATTGAGCCAAGATCGCACCACTGCACTCCAGCCTGGGCGACAGAGCGAGACTCCGTCTCAAAAAAACATTAAAAAAATAAAAAAGGTGCTCTTACTGATGTCAAGATTCTTAAGGGGACACATGCGGTGGCTTATGCCTGTAATCCAGCAGTTTGGGAGGCCAAGAAGGGTAGATTGCTTGAGCCCAGGAGTTCAAGACCAACCTGGGCAACATGGCAAACCCTGTCTCTACCAAAAAAAATACAAAAATTAGCTGGGCATGGTGGCATGCACCTGTAGACCCAGGTATTTAGGAGGCTGAGAGGTGGGAGGATGGCTTGAGCCCAGGAGGCAGAGGTTGCAATGAGCCATGATCACGCCACTACATTCCAGCCTGGGTGACTGAGTCAGACACTGTCTTAAAAAAAAAAAAAAAAAAATTCTTAAGAGGAACAATTGATTGAATAATTAATTGAATATGGAATAAATGAATGATGCCAAAATATATTCATTGAGTTCATGCTAAGCATCAGAGTGCACCCACCTACCCCTCTCTTTTGCACACAAGCTCAGCTCTCCAAGAGCGAGGAAGGAGGACATGGAGGTCAACTGTTCTCCCATTCCTACTGACAGAGGTTTGCTTATTGAATGTGTCACCGAAGAATAATTTGTACACACTAGACACTATGTTAATCCAGGTCACTGGAGAAGCATATGGGATTAAGTGTGCAAGAATTTTATTAGGGGAAATGCTTGTGTGAGAGAAAATGGGAGAGAAGCTAAAAAAGGCTGAGACAGTCATCGGATCATGATACAAGTCTGACTCTGAGTGAAGGAGAGGAAGGGAAGGTTGGGTGAAATTCTCCTGGGCTGCCACACGGTACAAGGAAGGAGCCAGTGGAGTCCCAGGGCTCTAAGAACAGCCCTGTCTTAGTGCTCCTGCCCTGCTCAGGCACTGACTGAGCAGCCCATAGGAGGCATGGCCTTGTCACAAACTAATGATGGATTTCAGAGTGGAGCAGATGAGGTCCTTGATCAATTACACTTCCTGTAGCTGGTGATCTGCAAGGCATGACCACCGCAGATGTTCAAATATTTGCTTCATTAAATTGTCAGTCTTACCTGAAAGAACCCACACTCCTCCTCTTTTCTTACCATGTCCATTCTCACCATGACACACATATAGGCTACAGATCCCAAGAGGTTAAGTGACTCTGGTCATTCAGTTATATAGTCTGGCAAATTTCCATAATTTCAGCCCATTAGGAGGTTTCTACGATCCACATTTTTTTCAGTCTCCAAAAAATACAGGGTAAAATAGAAGTTGTGTGTGCATGTGTCTGTGTGTGTGTGTGTGTGTGTGTGTGTATCAGAGAGAAAGACAGACATCTGGCTGATTCAGAATTTGCTCCAGCTGAGCTTTGATTCTAAATATTTCAGTACTTACCCTCTTTTGATTAAAATGAAAAAGCAGAGATAATGCAGCCAAATCCACTTAATATCAAGTTATCAATAAAAAAAAATCTGTTTTATTTTTTTCTCCTGACTCCAAGCAATTTGGCTAAATCTGAATACAACTAGCCAAACACTCACTGACATCAAAACACCCTCAAGGTTAGAGCTGAGTAAAAACCATTGCTTTCTGAAATTAAAAAAAAAAACAAAACACTTTCTATCAACCCAAGCAAACAAAACTTAATTATTTTAATAGATAAAACATGCCATTTTGTGCCTCCTCTCTGGGTACACACGGCAGCAATATTTGAGCAGACCAGAATAGTAATATCAATTCTGTACAATTAAAGGCTAGGAACTTGCCCTGGCTTTGGGTGATGTCATTTTCTTCTACTTTTGTTTTTAGAAAACTGTATTTACATTACTCTGGAAGAGGAAATCTAATCATATTAAAATCGCGTTTTCTAGTAGTTCTTAGAAGATTAAACCAGACTTGCAAATGGCTTGAGAAATAACAAGTTCCATATTATTTGTGAAAGACCTATGTTTGATTGGAAATAACTAGACTCAATTCGTGTTCACATCTGACCTTCCTACACAACCATCGTAAGAAAAATGGATTTTGTTCAGGGAAGAGCCATTTGGCTAATTTCCTTGGACTTGCGTGTTCTAATCAAATTTGGTCAAACACAAAGGACATAAGAAGCCAACCATTATTTAGATGTATTGCTTAGATTGACTTTAAAAATGATCTTTTCTTCAGAAGACCCCTAAAAATAAAGGAAAACTTCTTCCCAATTTCTATGATTCCGATCAGAACTTTCTTTTTTTTTTTTTTTTTCCTGCCTCAGGTTTATTTGTACAAATAGCACAGGAGGACCCCAGCCCCATGCAGATGCCAGCCCAGAGGTGGGGGTGGGGGTCGCACCAGTCCTTCTGTCCTCACGTTGGCAGAGGGAGATACCTACTCTGTAGCCTTTGTAGTGGCCTGGGCACCTTTGGGAGCCTGAGCTGGAATTGAAGCTGGAGCTGCAGCCTGGGCCTTGGTTTGATCCTTGGCCTTGGCCTTGGCCTTTGGCCGGCACAGCCGGAGCCCCTTGGCAATGCGAGCACGAGCACTCTTCCCAAGCTTGGGGTGGGCAATGTAGGCAAGTCGATCAAGCTTGCGGCTGACACCCTTTGGGATCTTGGGCTTAACCTCCTTGGGCTTTACGAGGGCCTTGACAGCCTCTGCACGTGCACTCATGGCCTTGGCATGGTTGGTCTGCATCTTCTTTAGGCCCTTCTTGTGCTTCTTGGCAAAGCGCATGTTCCTCAGGAACTTGGGGTCCACCCCCTTAAGAGATTCGTATCTTTGTGATCGGGGTTTCTTGATACCATTTCTGTGCCGTTTTCGGGACTGGTTGTGTGTGGTGTGGTTCTTGGACTTGGCCATGTCTGCACCTTTAGCCGTGGCTCCCCAGCACTTTCTTCTTGAACATTTCTTTATTCTGTTTCTTCTAACATCCACCGAATAATACGTGCCTATCATTCTGTTAGGGTCTGTGGAGGATATACAAAATAGGAAATGCATCTTTACTCTCACAAGGCTTTTATTTTGGTTGGAGAAATAAGACATCTGCATATATACCTACAACACATAACCATATACAATCAGTAGAAGGTAAGAGTAAGGTTGTGAGGTAGGAATGTCAGTCTTGATTGTGGGGTGGCATTTGAAGTAGAGCTTGTAAAAGATGTGTCGGCTGAAAAAAGGCAACGAATCACCAGAAAATGAGAAAACCGTGAGGAGAGACAGGGAGGAAAGAAAATAGAAAGCATGCTCTTGGCTGGGCACCGTGTCTCATGCCTGTAATCACAGCACTTTGGGAAACCAACGTGGGCAGATCCCGTGAGGTCAGGAGTTCGAGATCAGCCTGGGCAACATGGTGAAACCCCATCTCTACCAAAAATATAAATGTTAGCCAGGTGTGGTGGTGCACCCCTGTGGTCCCAGCTACAGAGGAGGCTGGGGTGGGAGAATCACCTGAGTCCAGGAGGTCAAGGCTACAGTGAGCTGTGATCATGCCACGGCACCCACTCCAGCCTGGGTGATAGAGTGAGATTCTGTTGAAAGAAAAATAAAGAGAGAAAGAAAGAAAGAGAAAGAAGGAAGGAAGGGAGGAAGGAAGGAAGGAAGGAAGGAAGGAAGGAAGGAAGGAAGGAAGGAAGGAAGGAAGGAAGAAAGGAAGGAAGGAAGGAAGGACAGAAGGAAGGGAGGAAGGGAAGGAAGAAAGGAAAGAAGGAAAGAAAGAAAAAAAGAAAGAAAGGAGGGAGGGAGGGAGGGAGGGAAGGAAGGAAGGAAAGGAAGGAGAAGGAGGGAAGGAAGGGAGGAAGGGAAAGGAAGGAAGGAAGGAAGGTGAAGGAAGGAAGGAAGAGAAAGAGCAAGCATGCTCTGTTTTGTTGAAGGCAAGGCTCATTTAGGGGAGCAGTGAGATATCAAACTGAAAAGGGAGGAGGGCCTAGCATTTTTAATACCAGGGAGGGCATCCAGCTGTGCTAGGTAGGCAATGGAAACCACTAAAGGCTTCTAACTGAGGAGGAACAAACACATTTTTGGAAGATATGAGCCTGGTAGTGACATGCGGATTCCTGGAAGAGGCCAACACAAGAGGCCAGAAACCGGGAGGGTCTCAGAAGAATCAGAGCCTGAAGTGAGGGGGTTAGGTTGGGTTGTGGCAGTGGGAATGGAAACGTGGGGTCAAAAGGAAGAGCCACTAAAAATGAAGGCTGGACAGGATGTGACCCCTCGAATGATGAGGAAGGCAAGAGAGATGAAGACCCCATTCCAAGCCTGGGTGATGGAAAGTGGCTGTGCAACCAGTGAAAATAACAACAGGAAAGAGAGAGATTCCGGCATGGACATGGACGGAGGACTGTAAAAGAAAAACAAAGATTCCAGGTGTCGCCTTACTCGTAAAGAGTTGGCCGTGTGAACAGTCGTCCACGCAGTCACTTGGCGGGAATAGGGATGAGAATTCAGGACAGAAAATATGGGCTTGTGATTAAAATCTGGGAGGGAGGCAGAGATTGATTCCATGGGTACATATAAGCCCATGACAAGCAGATAACGTGGTCAAGAGGAGAGGGGGTTCAAGGGAGCAAAAGGGGAGCAGAAAACAGAGTTCAAGCCAGAATTTGGGAACTCTGTCTTCCGTGTAAGACACCTTTCTGTAATGTCTTTGGGGTGCAGTGCAGAGTGGGTGCCCACCCTGTCCCATCCTCCCTCTCAGCATCTGCACCTCTGGGTCTCCTGCCCTTCCTCAGCAGGATCCCCCTGGGTGGGGTGGGGGTGACGCAGAGATGGCACTAGGCTTCTTTGTGGGCTGCCCCTGATTTATCCATGCAACCACTCACACACAAGGCTCTAGAGCACGGCAAAATCTTTATTAAAGCTTTGGGGATACCTGGAGGAAATTATAATGTAGGAAAGAAGAAAACTGAAGTCCATATGCTAAATATAAATATTTTATCCTAGGGTCCAGGAGAGGAGGAGAAATGCCAGCGCTTTCACAAGGCAGACTCGACTTTCTAGTCTTGCTTTCATGACTTGAGGCCAATTCTTCTCTTCCCCTGCTTAAGAAAGCCTGTCTTTTTATTATTATTATTTTATTATTTATTTATTTTTGCTGTGCCAATCTCCACATCTCTCTTCTGGACCCAGTGGGTCTTCTCACGTGGAGCCACGTCCTCACTCCACACAGGCATGGATTCCAGGAGACACAGGAACTACCAGGACATTTCCCAGCATGTGAGTTAATCCATCCAGAGCCCCAGTGCAGGTGGCTTCGGGAGGACAGTGCTGAGGCCTTTCCCATGCAGGTTCCATCCCTGCCCAGGTGTCTCCATGGTGGGAGGTGAGGGTAGCCTTCTAAATTGTCCTGCAGATAACATGAAAATACAACCTCACACACTCCTTTCAAGGACAGTCATTCTCAGAAACAGTGTAGTCTAAATACACATTGAAGGAAGAGAAACATTTTCCTAACGGTGATACAACCTGCAAAATATTTCCCAGCCCATCACTGAAAGAGCTTTCTATATTTTTAGGCAGAACCATCTGTTTCTCTTGTTCCTCATTCCCGGCTCTAGGACGTGCCTAGGACCCAGCTGTGAGATGCTTGGCTTTGCAACAACAGAACCATCCATCCGCCCAAAGACCCGGCAGCAATTCTGCAATTATACTTGTTTTATGAGGAATGTGAGAAGAGAAGCCCACTAGAGTGGGAGAGACATATGGAATGAAAGGTAGAGAGATGAGGAAAATAGAACTACAATTTAGGCCAAGGGAAAGAAGAGATGTAGGGAATAGTAGGCCAGTTGCATGTGCTCCAATGAAATCAACATAGAAGAGTGGCCCCCCTAGGCCGGGCGCGGTGGCTCAAGCCTGTAATCCCAGCACTTTGGGAGGCCGAGACGGGCGGATCACGAGGTCAGGAGATCGAGACCATCCTGGCTAACACGGTGAAACCCCATCTCTACTAAAAAATACAAAAAACTAGCCGGGCGAGGTGGCGGGCGCCTGTAGTCCCAGCTACTCAGGAGGCTGAGGCAGGAGAATGGCGTAAACCCGGGAGGTGGAGCTTGCAGTGAGCTGAGATCCGGCCACTGCACTCCAGCCTGGGCGACAGAGCAAGACTCCGTCTCAAAAAAAAAAAAAAAAAAAAAAAGAGTGCCCCCCCCCCCAGAATTGAATTTCCAACCTAGATGTTGTTGGTGACCATCTACAAAAGTGTTTCAATAGAATGAGGGTGGGAGTGGAGCAGAAACCACAGGTTTTCTTTTCAAGAGAAGATAATGAGAAAAAAAAAAAAAAAGATGAGATGACAGACCAAGATGGCAGGAGATGTGGGGTAAGGTTTCCTGAGGTGAGATATATCTGGGAATATTTGTAAGCAGAATGGAAAATCTAGGGATAAGGAGGGATTGAAGCCTGTCTCTAGTTGATGAAACAGCAGTGTGACATGGAACTGGGGAGGTGGGAGATAGAAAGCTGAGGCCCTGTAAACAGTGCATTTTTATTTATTTTTCATTTTTAATTCTTTTTCGAGATGGAGTCTTACTCTGTCATCCAGGCTGGAGTGCGGTGGCACAATCTTGGCTTACCGCAATCTCCGCCTCCTGGGTTAAAGCAATTCTCCTGCCTGAGCCTCCGTAGTAACTGGGATTACAGGTGCGCGCCACCACGCCTGCCTAATTTTTGTATTTTTAGGAGATAACGGGGTTTCGCCATGTGGACCAGGCTGGTCTTGAACTCCTGACCTCAGGTGATCCGCCCACCTCAGCCTCCCAAAGTGCAGGGATTACAGGCGTGAGCCACCGTGCCCCCCCACCTAAACAGTGAAATTTTAGTAAGAAAGTACACAAATAGATATAAAGATATAAAAACAATCAAACAAGAGACTGCAACAATACTGAGGCAGAAAGGAGGGTATTGGGGAAGATTGGCTTCCTCAGTGATGTAAAAGGCAAGTCAGGTGTTGAGCCTGAAGAATTGAGTTTAGGAGCTTGAACACCGCAGTGAACGATGCTCACACAGCTCCTGTGTGGAATTCAAGAGGCAGCAACAGAAAGAATGGGGGGAAAAAACACCAGACCTCCTTTTCCAACAACTTAGACCACCCCTCCCAATGTGCACAACTCAAAAACTAAATGAAAGAGAAGCAGCAGCTCCCTGATGATGATTAAAGGCCATGAGAAATCCCCAGCTGGCTTTGGAAGAGTATCACCCAGAGAGGTGAGCCTGGCCTGCAGAGTCCTTTCCCCTTGAGAGCGCCTGCCAGTTCCTATGGAGGCATCTGGGCCGTGCTTCTGACAGCCTTATGGGGCTGGGAGAATACACGGTTTTGACTTTTACAAAGTCCAATTAATTTTTCTAATAGTAGTAGAACCATCCCTATCTTTTGCTTACTATTTGCTTGGACTGCCTTTTCCCACCCTTCCGCTTTCAACCTGTTTGTGTCGGAAGCTCCTGCATCGCTGGTGGGCACGCAAAATGGGCAGCAGCTCTGGAAAACAATTTGGTTATTCCTAAAAAGCTAAACATAGAATTACCGTCTGCCCTAGCAATTCTGCCCCTAGGTATATACCCCAAAGAATTGAAAACAGATACTTATTCATGGATGTTCATAGCGGCATTATCCCTATTAGCCCAGATAAAAACAACCCAAGTGAGCAAAGGAATGGGTATATTTGTCAATGTTCTCCAGAAAAGCAGAGCTCTCAGTGTGTGTGTAAATTAACTATCACAACAGGTAAACGAAACATCATATAGATATGTTTTGTTCAGAAGAAGAAATGAAGTTCTGAATCATGCTACGACATAGATGAACCTTGAAAACATTATGCTAAGTGACATAAACCAGATAAAAAAGGACAAATACTGTATAATTCTACTCACGTGAAGTATCTAGGATAGGCAAA